CCAGGACCCTGGGATCATGACCTGAGCTGAAGGCAGTCACTTAACCGACTGAGCCACCCAGGCGCCCTTTTTTTTAAGATTTTATTTATTTATTTGGAGAGAGAGAGCATGAGAGGAGGGGCAGAGGGAGAGAGAGAAGCAGACTCCCCACTGAGCAGGGAGCCCGACGCTCCATCCCAGGACCCTGGGATCATGACTCGAGCCAAAGGCAGACGCTTCACCGACTGAGCCACCCAGTGGCCCCATGGAGTCAGACTGTCTTGATTCAAATTCTGGCTTTGCTACTTCTTAGCTGTATGACCGTAGGCAAGTTAACGAACCTCTCTTACCTCAGTTTCCATGCCTGTAAAATGAGAATAGTTACAATAGCCCTCTTATGGGGCTGTTATAATGACTCACGTGCCAGTGTTTATGAAGTGTGTAGAGATGTGACTGGCACGTAGAAGGTATGACACTTGTGGTTATTAACAAGGCCAGGGGAGGTGGCTTGCTGCAGTCCGGGATCTCTTCGTGTTCTCCTGCTGAGTCCTATGAGGAAAAGGGAGGACTTGCTAACCCACTTCACTGTTGTTATTACAGGTCAGAAGAGCTCAGTGTTGAAAGAAGCAGAAGAGCCCCTGAGAGTTTGTAATCCATACCTGGCTAGGATGTGAGGCAGAGAGAGGCTGAGAAACCCTCCCTGGTCACAGCTCCTGTGGGTTAGCATCGATCCTGCGGAGGTGTGAGTTTGTGGGAGAGATGCTCTTACGGAGCATGTGGTATCTGGTTCACCCAGAGCGGACCTCCGTGCCTCCTTGGTTTACCCACAGTGCAGCTAGTCTGATTGCTTACAGGTGATGTACCAGAGGACCTTGATTCATCAAAAATCGCTGAGTTTCTGGAAAACAAACAGAGGGTTGGGGCAGAGACCAGGGACCAGGAAAGGGCTGAGAACTATAGAGAGTGTGGGAGCTAACAACCTGTGATCTAACCGTCCCCACCCCCAACCTCAGCAAATCACCAAAAACTAAATCTAGAAATCCCGTGTTCTGAGTGGCTATTTTGAGAACTGGCTGGAGAGGGGGGAGGGAGGAGGGGCAGGAGGTAGAAGACTCAGCATAGTGCTTTTCAGCAGAAGGTACGAGGGAGATTTCAAGGGGGCATGGTGAGCAATAGGGGTCTTCTCCTCCTTATAGCACCCTTTTCTGGTCTCCCCAGCGCCCTCTCATACATTTAAGCCAAATGGAGCTGGGAAGCCCTGGAGGACCAGACAGCAGCTGAGCCATGACTCCATTCCAGGGTCGGTAATGTCAGGGGAGACTCAGGAAGGGGGACAGCCTGCTGGGTGGAGGGAAGCGTGGCCCGGGTGGTTCTGTCCTGACACATATTCGGGCTTGGGGGATGCTCAAGATTAGCTGACCCGAGAAGCAAAGTAGAGGAAGAGACAGCCATCGGAGGGGAGATATTTAGAATTGGGACCAGATTTTCCTCCAAAGGGGAGGGGCTGGGGTGAGAGAAAAGAGTCGGCGGATTAAGGGAACAGGCTTAGAGTCAGACAGAGGGATAACAAAGCAAGGTCAGAGTCTCGATTGCTGGCAATCGAGAAAGTAGGATTTAAAGTCAGAGATCATGGGACTATAGAATTTGCGTCTTGACCCCTGACCCTCTTGTCTGGACTATCGACTGTTAGCCTATTACCCATCCATGGCCTGCTTTTGCGGTATGGGCGAACCTCTTGTGATGACGGCGTACCAGAGTGGAGCGTGTCAAGTAGGTGACTGCTGGGCCATTACATCAATCGTGTGCAAATAAATAAATAAATAAATAATGACTATGACCACAGGAAGATCATGGGGGAAGAAAGCAATGACCTGCTGGTCTCCCAAGAATCTCAGGAACAACCTTTCTTTTCATGGATCCTTTCTTTTGGTCAAAGGGGGACTAGCAAGAATTCCATAGAGTTTCGGGAACACTTTTGTGAATGTTCTTCCAGATTTTTAAATAGATAGATAGATAGATAAGCAGTCTATATCTTTTACAAAATTGGATCATATCAATCTACATCTACTTTTAAAAATAATAATTTTGTTTTACTTTAAATTAATATTTTCTTTTTTCCCCCTAACTTTTTATTAGAAAAAATGTACTGGAGTTGAAAGAATAATAGTTCAGTGCGCATCCGTATGCTTTTCACCTAGATTCAATCATTATTAGCACATTACCATATTTGGGCGAGCATGTGACAATATTCCATCTTGTGGGAATAGTAGAGCTTGGTGGTTTGAATGTGGAGTCGGCTGCTCTGGGTCCCAAAGCCAGTTCTGCTGGTTTCTAGCAGTGTGGCTTGACCTTGGACAAGATCTTTAGCATCTCAAAGCCTGTTTCCTCAACTATAAAATGCGGATGATACCTCGGAAATTTCAGAGGATTCAATGGGATAATGTTGAGCATGTAATAAATTCTCAGTAAATATTGTTTGGGTACTTGTCTTATCTCTTCACTCAGCCTGGAAGTTAGGGACAATCTCTTAACTGGTTTCACTTTAAATCCATGTCCATTACCCTCATGTGGGCCCTAAGTGCTGCCTGGTAATCCTACCTACCATGTCTCATCGTTCACTCTCTTACTTTCTTACATGATTATCTCACTCTTTCTCTTTTCTCCTCAAACCTTTTTTTTTTTTTAATATTTTATTAATTGATTTGAGAGAGAGAGAGAACACAAGCAGGGGGAGCAGCAGACAGAGGGAGAGGGAGAAGCAGGCTCCCCGCCAAGCAGGGAGCCCGATGTGGGGCTCAATCCCAGGACCCTGGGATCATGACCTGAGCTGAAGGCAGACGCTTCACCGACTGAGCCACCCAGGCGCCCCTAAAGTGATTTCTTAGAAACAGGTCAAACCATGTTCCCTCCGCCCCAAACTTTGTAATGCTTTTCCATCAACTCAGAAAAAAGTCCAAGCCTTTGCTCTGGTCCAGAGATATTCATATTCTGGCCACCCACCCAACTTCATTTCTTCTGCTCTCTCCCTTATTCACTCAGCTCCAGCCATGGTGGTTTTCTTACTCTTCCTTGAACATAACCAGGCAAAAAACCTGCTTCAGGGACTTTCCACCTCATGTTTCATCTGCTTAGAAGGCTCTTCTCCTACACACTGACAGGGCTTCCTTTTATATGTTACTGAAACCTCTGCTCAAATGTCACTCATCAGAGAGGCCTTCCTAGACGGCGCTGTTTTATTTTCCTTCTTGGAACGTGTCACTAGCTGGCATAGTTGTTTAATGAGTTCAGGAACTTTATTTTGCTCACTGCTGTGTCCCCAGTGTCTAGAATAATACTTGGCATGTATGAGGCGCTGACATCTTGGTTGAATAAATGAATCTCGTGTTTCTTCTATACCCTATAAGTGCATAGAACAAAACACAAGTAAGTGGCTGATAAATATTTACCAAAATCGGGTCTAAATGGCATAATCTACATAACATAAACTGGATTCTATCAGCTTATTAAAGCAGAGCCCTGATATCTGGCAGTCATTCAACCAAGGTTTGCATCGGTAAAATGAGGGAGAATGCTGTATACTCCACTGAACTATTCTAAGGATGCGATGGCAAAACCTTCGTGAGAAGCCTGTATTTTAGCAAATAGCAAGTACTCAAATTGTGAAATGAGTAAACAGACTCCAAGGGTACCTAGGAGCCCACAGGCGTGACTCTCTCTCAAGATCAAGTGTACCTTGAGATAGGAATGTCCAGATGGAGCAGCTCTATTGGTATAATTCCAAGGAAGGGGAATTCCTATTATTTTAAATTTAACTCTCCATCTGGACAGAGAAGCTAGAAAAAAGCACACATATCAGTTGATTAATCCAATTTCAAATTCATGGCCATGACCTTAGGAGGGGCCCCAGTGCTTCCCAGCAATGGGAATATTACTGTTCCCTAGTTCATTCACTTTCCTACTTTGCTTAAATGAGTATTTCATACTTTCTTTCCCCCTTCTTTCCTTCAAGACCTCTTCCCTCCTCCTCTTGGATGATGACCTTGTTACCTATTTTACTTCAAAAACAGAAGCAATGAGAAGAGACCTTGCAAATGTCCCCACCTGCCTGCCTCTGGGCCTATAAGATCTGCCTTCCCTCCAGTTACTGTGGGTGATCTGTGCTTAGCTCCTGTTCAGGGCTACCCACTATTTAGGCACTAGATCTCACCCCCTTTCTCCTCCAGCAAGGATCCTCTTTCTTTCTTTTTTTTTTTTAAGATTTTATTTATTTATTTGACACAGAGAGAGAGATAGTGAGAGATAGTGAGAGCAGGAACACAAGCAGGGGGAGTGGGAGAGGGAGAAGCAGGCTTCCCACTGAGCAGGGAGCCCGATGCGAGGCTCGATCCCAGGACCCTGGGATCATGACCTGAGCCGAAGGCAGACACTTAACGACTGAGCCACCCAGGCACCCCAAGGATCCTCTTTCTGTCCCTACAGTTTGCCCTTCTCTACTGAATCATTTTCTTTCTTTTTTTCTTTTTTAGATTTTATTTATTTGAGAGAGAGAGAGAGAGAGAGAAGGAGCATGAGCAGGGGGAGGGGCAGAGGCAGAGGGAGAAGCTGACTCCCTGCTGAGCAGGGAGCCTGGACTCCAGGCTTGATCCCAGGAGCCTGGACTCCAGGCTCGATCCCAGGACCCTGGGTTCATGACCTGAGCTGAAGGCAGATGCTAAGCCCACTGAGCCACCCAGGCGCCCCTCTACTGAATCATTTTCATAAAACACAATCATTCTATAATTTCTGCCATCTTAAGTGAAATCTTCTCATGCCCATATCCCCCTCAAACCACGTTCCCACCCCCATTTTTGGGGAACTCCTTCTCTCTTTGCTGCTTCAATCTCTCTCCTCCATTTCCCTCATGAACCTACTCTAACCAGACTTTTGCTCCCTTTCTCCACTGTGACTTCTCTTGTCAAAGCCACCAGTGATTTCCACACAACAAAACCCAGTGGTCAATCCCCAGTCTTCATCTTACTTGGCCTACCTGCAGAATTAGACACAACTAATCACTCTCTCCTGCTTGAAATAGTTTCTTCACATGCTTTCTAAATTCCTATACTCTCTTGGCTTTTCTCCTACCTGACTTCTCAATTTTCCTTACTGATTTTTCCTCATTTCTACAACCTCTCATCGCTGGAATGCCCCAGGATTTGACCCTTTTCTCTTTATCTGATGGTGATCTCACAGTCTGATGGCTTTAAATGTCATCCATATGTTAATAAAGGCCTAATTTATATCTCTAGGCCAGATCCTGCTCCTTAACTCCTCTTGAATATCCAGCAGCTTATAAAGGCATCTCCTCTTGAGTAATTAATAGGCCTCTCTTTTTTCCTAAAACCTGCTGCTCCTGCTGTCTTCTCCATTTCGGGAAACGACAATTCTGTTTTTTTCAGTTCCTCAGGCCAAACACTTTGGAGTCATCCTTGACCCCTTTCTCAAAATGCCACTTATCCCATCAACCAGTCCCTTTGGTCATAGCTTGGAAATATACCCAGGATCGAACCACGTCTCACCACCTCCACCGCCACGGTGCTGACCCCAGCAACCATTACCTCCTGCCTAGTTGTCTGCAATAACCTCCTAGCAGGTTTTCCTGCTTCCTCCCTTGTGCCCGCTTTGTGCAAATTGATGGTCTCCGGTGCCTTCTCATCTCACTTATAAAAGTCGACCTCCTTAAGAGGACTCCTGGGGCTCTACGTCATCTGCCCACCCTAGTTATCTCTGATCTGGTCTCCAGCCCCCTTCCTCCTGCTTCCTTCCTCTCTCCACTCCAGCTGCATCGGTCTCTTGCTATTCCTCAAATAAGCTCATCTCACTTCCACCCACGGTCATTGGAAGCTTCTGCCCGGACTCGGGTAACCCTTCTTCACTTATCTCTTTTAGCTTTTGGCTCAAATGCCACTTTCAGACAGAATTTTCCTGACCACTCTGTATAAAACTGTGTTTCTCCATTCCCACAAGCACTCACCACCCGCTTTCCTGTCTTTTCTCTGTAACACTTACCACCACCTAACCTAATATTTTATTAGTCTCTCTGTGTACTAGAATGTAAACTCCATGAGGGCAGGGGTTTTGTCTGTTTTGTCCTCTGCAATGTCCCTAGCACCAATAAATGCTTGTTGAATGAATTTTGATGACTTTTCTCCCTCTCTCTGATCTTCAGACCCACTTCTTCAAAAGATTAAGGAGTGCACCTAGTGATAGGAGGACTTTAAATTGTTGATGATGAGTCTAAAGGGATGGCACCTTAATACTTCTATGAATATCTAATACTCTGATTTCTCTTTTCCAGCTTAATACCAAAACATCCCCAGCAACCAACCAGGCACCTGGCCCAGAGGAAAAGGGTGAGTGGGGTTGGCCCAGGTGGTTTGTAGAGTGGGTAATTACAGAGATATGAGGACAGGTAGGGCTATAAGTCTGGAAGCTCCTAGAGTGGGATGTAATTGGAATAGGAATATGGACAAGTGAAACAAAGCACTAGGTTAGAACCACTATACCTGTAGGCTTTCTTCCACTTTTTCCTAAGAAGTAAACCTACCAGTATTTACTCCTTGATTGTGGAAGCTAGCTCTGGAGTGCTTGGAAACAGGCACTGTGATAGGAAGAGGCTCGTGAGATAATCCAGCCACTGTCTCAATCAGAAATTGAGGGAAAGCTGGGGAAAGTCAGTATGCTCTGAGTTGTAAGACTGAGGAATAAGTGATGATAGAAGACATTTGTCATCTTGGTCTAAGAGTAGCAAAGCTCCTAAGTAACGAGAGCTAGTTCTCAGCCTCAGTACCCTGACTCAAGCTTCCAGGAGAGTGATCAGGCATTCTTGGTCCTAGCAAAGACTGGAGAACCTCCCAGAGCCCAGCAGGAAGTGGACCCTAACCACTGTATTTGGGGCCTGGAGAAAGGTGCAGGGGCAATGCTGGTTTACTCATCAGTGAATCTCTCAACTCTCCGCAGGGAAAGCTGGTGGTGCCAAGAAGGCTGAGGAGGAGGAGGAGATCGACATTGATCTGACAGCGCCAGAAACAGAGAAGGCTGCCCTTGCTATTCAGGGCAAGTTCCGGAGATTCCAGAAAAGGAAAAAGGATCCTAGCTCCTGAATAACCAGCCTTGTCCTTCACTCTCTCCCTTTTCTCCCCTTCGCTGCAGTTCTGACTCCTATGTGTCTTTGTCTCTTTGTCCCTCTAGCCTCTTGTTGAGGCAAGTTCAATCCTTATATATTATTTTCTCTGGTCCCCCCCAAGCCATCGCAACAGTGGAGGCACAAGGAACGTGGGGGAGGATGAAGAATTCAATTGGCAGCCACTTGCCTGAGGGTAGACCAGTTTGTCCTTGGGACAAGCCTCCTTGACCAGCACCTATGTCTGCCCCATGAGGTTGAAGAGCAAGAGGCTTTGAGGTTGAGAGAGGGACCCCTGGCAGTCGGCGGGGGGGGAAGCAGTCAGAGTAGGGTGCCTGAGGGGGGGCCTAGGCACTGTTCCGCCAGTTACAACAGTCACACTTCAGGTAACGTGTTTCTGCTCTTCACATCCTTCTGCACCAACACATCCTCCTTCCCTCCTATGAGCTAAGCGACTGTGGGGACCGGAGCCTCCCTCTCCTCGAGGCCAACCCAGATCAAGCACCTTCCACATTAGTGCATGCTGAGTAGATGAGTTCCAAGGCAGGGAGCCTGGGACGGGTGGAGGCCAGAGAAAGTTGCCTTCACCGTCCAGTCTAGGACCATCAGGGGCAGAGGCAGAAGAGGTTTCAAAGGGCCGCGGGCAGGGAGATGGGCCTAGAGTAGATTTGGGGGGGAAAGAGAGGTAAGGACGGGGAGCTTTCTGGAAACACAGCTACTGCCGGTAGACGGGTACTACGTGTACTAGACAAAGGATTTCTGCTACCCTGCCTACCTCTAACTTCCCAAATCCAGCCATCCCTAGAGGCCGCGCCAACCAAGGGACCCCTGTAGTTTCCACCTGCCCCACTGCGGAGTCAGAGCAGAAGTGGAATAGCCACTCTGTGTGATTCGAGCATGTTTAATCATGACTAAAAAAGAAAAAACCCCAGTGGGGTCATCTAACCTCTACTTCTGCTTTTTTCTTGGGAGGAATGCGAATGTAAGCCTGAGCTGGCCTCAAGGAGGGTGGGAGACTGACCGCATGGACCACACCCTGGCACAGGAACTGAACACGTAGACTGAAGCCCACCCCTGCCTCCCCCGCCCCCGGACCTTGCCCTCACCTTGATTCACCGCCGACACGGTCTCTGTCTGAGGCTGTCACCGCCCCCGTGCACACCTGTGAGGCTGCTCACCACCTCCCTGCTCGCCTTCCGGCTCAGAGCACGCTTGGGATCTATGCCTTGGAAAACAAACCCAACCTTCCTTGCTCCCTATCCCCAAATGACCTGTCCACCCTGTCCCCCCTGCTCTGTCTTCCTCCCACATTCCCTCTCCCTCCCACTGTTTCTCTAACTTAGGGGAAGGAGAAGATGACTCTGGATCCGAGAGAGCACCACTGACGTGCTGAAGATTTTAAACCGTGAATTAAATAAAATGATGGCATTCAGGGCCGCTTGCACTGCTGAGAAATGGTCTCTATACAGTGAAACTGGAAGCTGAACACTGGAAGATCAAGCAAGAAAAACTCATTCTCATACACTCTCTTCACTTAACATTCACCCTTCCTTTCCTGATTCAAGAATACAGGAGCTGAGGGGTGCCTGGGTGGCTCAGTCGGTTGAGCGTCCGACTCTTGATTTCAGCTCAGGTCGTGATCTCGGGGTTGTGGAATCGAGCCTGCGTGGAGCTCTGTGCTCAGCGGGGAGCCTGCTTGAGATTCTCCCTCTCCCTCTGCCCCCCCCCTCACTCAAAAACAAATAAATACATACATACATACATAAAATCTTAAATTAACAAAAAGAATGCAGAAGCTGAAACCATGTAGCAGCTGGGAGTAGGAAGCAAGGGACAATATCACTGGAAGGCAACCTATATCCCAAAGTTGATCCTTGCCTAGCAAGCCCGGGGCTACAGGATATTCCATGGATATGAGATGGGTGTTGGCCGGGCCTCAGCTTGGTCTGCCCCTGTGGACGTTGAGGTAAGACAGGTGCTCCCTGTTCCTGGTGATCTGGGCTTCTGAGAGCAGGGGGTGCTAAGCCAAGGGCAGGGTTCGCCACCAGCCCTCTCCTATTGACTCCGCTGTTTGGACGGTTATCTGCCTATTGGTTTTTTTGCCACATTGATCTGGAGCACGGTGCTGAAATGTTTTTCCCCTTCACCATTTCTTGCTCTAGAAGCATTACACTTGCCCTCAGACGTCTTTTAAAAGAAAGGGCATTGTAGCAAAAATACCGTCTGTAGCTTTGGGAAAGATGGTTCTCAGTGGTAGTTTTCAGTAAAGGTTCTCAAAGCTAGTTTCTCTCTGCCAGTCCTACTTCTACTGCACGGCGCTCGAATTGACCCTCTTCTCCTGTAGCTCCTCCTTGGGACCCTGGGCTTGGGCTGCGATCTCTTGCTTAGGGCCCTAGAGCCCTATTTCTCTTCCCTGTCCCTCTGGTTCCTGCCGCTGGAGACACAATCATGGAGTATTGATCAGTAAGGAATTGTTCTTGGGTACTTTGTTTTGTGGAGCAAAGACTGCAAGTCTTTGGGGACTGGTGAGTGCTCTTCTAATACGTGGCTTAAGAGAAGAGACAGGCAGAAACAGTCAAGGGGAAAAAAGCAAATTCAGTTATCACATGTCTATCACTGACATGCCTTTTGGTGCTTTTCCATCTGTGTAGGGAGGGGTGTCGAGCTGGGAGGATAGCCCTGATGAAAGTGGAAGAGGTCTGGAGATCTGAGCAGGGGGAATACTTCGGAATATGTTCCCAGAGCCCAGACTTGAGGGTGAAGGTTTTGGGAGAAATTCAGGCAGCTAAAGGGGACAAGGATTCTGCTTCCCAGGACAACCTACTTTCAGGGACTTGAAGTCCTTGCTGGGAAGGACTCTTGACCTCTCCTTGATCTGGCCCTAGTATAGAGGCAGCTTTCCCATGTCCGTCTCTTTCTCTTGCACTTGACTCCTGCCCTAATGTCCTTTTGGGGAGCTGCCCTTCCTGCCCACTTCTGCTTCTCTCTGCCCCTCTTCTCCTTGCTGTGTTTCCTTTATTTCTGGGGTTGTTTGTGGGGGTGGGGGTGTGTGGCTATTCTTGGGAGCGACTTTGTTCCTGCTGTACTTGGTCCCTGAGACTCAGCCCTTACGGGAATCACTCTACAGTGAGCTGTTCCTTCCTGTTCTTCACCATCTTCTCTCCAAATGCAGCACCTCTGCTGCCTGTGCCTCTGAAGACTGAGGGTTTGGAGGTCAGGAGGTTTGTTTCTTTTCTGGTTGTTCGGGTAGCAGCTAGACTTGAGATCTACAAAGGCAGAGACTCACAGTCCATAGATGGTCAGAAAGTAAGCCCTTTCTCAAGGCTGCAGGAAATGCTTCCTTATTCCCTCCTTGACCACGTCCCTCCTCCATCCAACCTTGGCATCCACAGTCCTCCCTCTTCCATCCAGCATTCTATTTTTCCCTTAGTGTGATGATGATGATGATGGTGATGATGATGAGGATAGTAATTGGCCTTTCTTACCTAGTCACCTAGGTCTTATCACCTAGATCTTACCTAGTCACCTAGGTCTTACCATCCTAGATCTTACCAAGTCACCTAGA